TCCAGGTGGGGCTGCACACTGGTGGTAGTGGGATTCCCCATGACCTGTGAAGCACTTTAAGTGGAGTGTCCAGAAAAGGGCTATATAAGTGTAAGCAATTATTAATGATCATGTCCATCAAAGCGCTATATAATTATTAGCAATTATTTATTATTATTGTTTATTTCAATTTCTCTCTTTCTAACATCCTTTTTTTTTACCTGCGCTGGAAATGCATTGTATTCCTTTTTTTTAATTGACCCTGTCTATTATTTTCTGTTTGTCATTGTGTTCTATTTGATAAAATAATAATAATAATAATAAGATGGTTAACCATGATGTTAACCGATTTGTGTGTGTGTGTGATTCCAGGTGGCGTTTCAGACTTGGTTGTGATAACCGGGGTTAAACGACAAATAAGTCACAGCTTCTGATTCTGTTGCCCTAAAAGCACACCCTAAAAGCAAACCTTTACACAAAAAAACAAACAAACAATGACTCTCTGGGTGTTTCCCAGCCCTCGGTTGTAACGACCCAGCTGGATGAAATAGGTGCCCTTTGTGAAACTCAGTGACGACCTGCTCGTTAAACAATTAATTAGAGAGCGGGTCTTGAGGGAGGGAACCATCTGTGCTGGGGGGGACGCTGTATATAAGCAAAGCTCTGGGAGCAGGTGGGGTTTGACAGTAGTTGTGGACCGTCTACTGTGAGTAGAAATACACTGATCACTACTGCACCGTCTACTGTGAGTAGAAAATACACTGATCACTACTGCACCGTCTACTGTGAGTAGAAAATACACTGATCACTACTGCACCATCTACTGTGAGTAGAAAATACACTGATCACTACTGCACCATTCCCTGGATTTGTTTAATTAATGAGATTTCATGTGGAGAACAGCGCTTTTTTCCGGTGAACAAAACAAATGCAACTGCAGTGGAGCAGTGCTCTCTCCTTGCAGCGACCTTGACAAATTGATTTGAATCTGGAGCTAGAAAAGCACCAATATGGGGTGGCTGCAGATTTGCGATTTGAATTGGCAGAGCCTATATTGGGAGAATTTGACTAGCCCTTCATCGAGCTGAAGACAGCCGAAACGCAAAGCCATTTTCTGGCATCTGTAGAGCAAATCAGTGTGGGATCGATTTGCTCTGATCGCCCCCCTCCCCCCCTGGGTCATTTGACAAAGAACTCAGCTGGTACCACCCAGCTCTGACAGGTCTGTAAGAACAAGTCACACCAGTAGAGAGCTGGAGAAAGACAGCTTTCACGCCCGAGGGAGAGGCCGACTGATGACCACAGGCGGAATTCAGGTCAACACAGAAGGAGGTAAGTTCTACATGGAAATATGCAGACCCAAAAAAATGGGATATTTCAAAATGTTCAATTTCAGGGAAACCTCTCGAATAAATCACGAACCCATGCTGGACTTGTAAAAGGTGCAGTCGATTTAAAACACATAGGCAGTCATGCGAAACAGGACAGAAGAAAACGGTGGGGTTTACGGAGCTCATCATTTTAAACACTGGTAGACGGGAGACATACCCACAAACATTTTGGAAATTTTCCACAAAACTACTCTTTCTCATCCTGTAAATGTTCCACATCTTTTATTTTGTCCGGTTTCTTGGGTCTTTCAGTTGAAATGCAGTAATTTACCGTTCAGGAAATTCCCATAAAAATGTGTTTACTGGTTTTTGTCTTAATTTGTTCTACTGGGAAGAGAGCCTTTTGAAAATCTCCCAGAAAAGCATATACCAATTTGAACCAGCTATTACCTAAGAGTCTTCCATTGTCTTTAGAACCTCAGCAGAAAGTGTCACAAAACAGGAGTTAACTCCAACTTATTTTACCCTGCTTTAAAGCATTTGGGTGCATCTGGATTTAGTTGTCATGCCAGAAAAAAAGGGCATCAGCTGAGTGTGTGTTGAAAGTCGTCTTTATTTTTTATGCATACGGATTGCGACACAAAACTTAAAAAGACAGCGCTTACAGTGCTCTTTCATACAGTGAAACAATACAAGATACACTCCCACATGACTGCTTGCATTGTGGCTATATCTGGTCGTTCTAGAAAGCTGGCGAGTAGGTATATTTTCTTTACTGCCAGCTTGTGTGTTCAGGTGGCCCCTCCTGCTGAATAGACCATTTGTTCCCAGAGAGCTCACTGGTCTTTCCCTGAGAACTATGCTAGCGATGTGTAAAGACACTATGCGGCTGTTATCTTTTGAGACCAGCCCTCCTGAGACAGATGTTGTCAAATACAAGTGAAAAAATATAGTCAGCAAGATATAATACCAACTTTTAGTAAGACTTTTAGTTAATTCCTTCAGTTGTGAAAGTGTCACAATGATAAAAAAGTAATCCCTGCTAATATGCACGTGTTTCGTCACGAACAGCCCATGAATTCGTCCGAAGTTAATTTTCCTGAAATTTAGATTTAAACGTGTTAAGAACACAAAAGGTCCCTTTCTTTCTGAGCGATGTGTTTGCGCACCGTTTTCCCGATAAATGTGAATTGAAACTGTTCTCCATGCTAGGAAGAAAAGCTGTCTAAACGGACACCAATGAGGGTTTTGGTCTCCCGGTCGGAGAACTTCACAGTGAACTATGCCTTTCCTCTACTGTCTCCTGAGCCATCGAAGCAGAAACTGTCCAATTCCACTCGGCATACGGAATTCTGCGGCATCCCAGATTATAAGGGCTCGTCACTGTGATCTAGCTTTGCTCTTAAAAAAAAACACTGTAACCATCAAAGATGTTTCTTGTAAGACGTAGATCCAGTGGAAACACGTTCCCCTCCTTACCAGTCATTAACTATTTAAAACACTTCTTCCCTATGTTACTCCTACACACATTTGGCCTCGCTTTGTCCTAAGGCTGATACGCCCCCCACAATGCCCTCTGACATGCCTGAACTCTTGCTCTTCCTGACTTCCTAACTGCTATGTCTGCTGGAGACTATCCCAGCAAGCAACGGGACTGAGGCAGGGTTCACTCCTTAACTTCCTAACAGCTTTTATAATAGTTAACAAAAGATAGTTAATATTCTGATTGTGCCCTCCATAAACTATCATTACTACGCCTTTCAAACTGTTGATGGTGTATAAATGCACCGGGACGCTGTCAACCATAATGCATTCGTTTCCTAACACAACTGTACAATTATACAAACAAACTTACGCTATGCCTACCTGTACCAACTCTAGACACTAGCAAGAGTAAAATCTCACAGACTGAGGAGACTGTGGTGGCGTTATTTGCATAGCAGATGCCTCTTATCTAAGCGGCTTATCTGTAGTCAGTCGCGATCTCTGCACTGATACCACACTGATGCAAACTCGCAACGCACTGCAGGAGGGAGGAAGACAAACCTTTCATGCTCGGTCCTAGTGTAATTTCAGCTAGTCCATTTTCTAACTGCTTCTTCCAATTCAGGGTCACAGGGGGCAGCTGGAGTCTATCCCAGCAAGCAACGGGCACAAGGCAGGATACGCCCTGGACAGGACACCAGTCCATCCCAGGGGACACACACACACACACACCCACACACACCCTGCACAGGACACTAGTCCATCACAAGAGACACACACACACTCTGGACAGGACACCAGTCCTTCACAGGACACGCACAGACACTCACACACCCTGGACAGGACACCAGTCCATCACAGGACACACACAGACACATGCACACCCTGGACAGGACACTAGTCCATCAAAGGACACCCACACACCCTGGACAGGACACCAGTCCATCACAAGAGACACACTCACACATCCTGGACAGGACACCAGTCCATCACAGTACACACACACCCTGGACAGGACACCAGTCCATCACAGGACACACACACACCCTGGACAGGACACCAGTCTTTCACAGGATACCAGTCCATCACAGGACACACACACACCCTGGACAGGACACCAGTCCATCACAGGACACACACACCACTCACACACCCTGGAC